TCAACCATCTGTGTGGTGGTTGTGGCGTCTAGCCGCTTTTGCAGCAGCCATGGTTGTTGTGGTGGCTGTGGTGGGCCACCGACATGGAGGTGCTGTCTTTGGCATGCTCCTTGGCACTGGCGGTGTGCCTGGTTGTGGGGTATGTTTGGTCCCCTTCTCCATGCCTCTGGTTCCTGGGCAGGTCCCAAGGCACTGGCGCCATGTGCCTGGTTGTGGGGTATGTTTGGTCCCCTTCTCCATGCCTCTGGTTCCTGGGCAGGTCCCAAGGCACTGGCGCCATGTGCCTGGTTGTGGGAGAGGGATCCAGTCCCCTTCTCCATGTCCTGGGTCCCTGGGTGGGCCCCAAGGTACTGGCGCAGTGTGCCTGGTTATGGCAGGAAGGTCCGGTCCCCTTCTGCCTGCCTCAGGTACCCTGGTGGGTGCCGAGGTGCTGGTGTTTTGTGCATGGTGTGGGAGGAGGGTCTAGTCCCCTTCTGCATGCCTCTGGGCTGGGTGGGCCCTGAGGTGCTGGCACGGTATCCCTGGTTGTGGGAGAGAGGTCCAGTCCCCTTCTCCTTGCCGCGGGTCCCTGGATGGGCCCCAAGGTACTGGCATGGTGTGCCTTGTTGTGGGAGGAGGGTCTGGTTCCTGGCTCCATGCCTCAGGTCACTGGGTGAGACCCAAGGTGCTAGCTTGGTGTGCCTGGTTGTGGGAGGGTAGTCCGGTCCCTGAGTCCATACCCCGGATCCCTGGGTGAGCCCCAAGGTTCTGGCTCAGTGTTCCTGGTTGTGGGAGAGAGGTCCATTCCCCTTCTCCTTGCCTCGGGTCCCCAGGCAGGCCCCAAGGTGCTGGCGGGGTGTGCCTGGTGGTGGTAAAGTGTCCGGACCCCTTCTGCATGCCCCAGGACTGTGGGCAGGCCCCGAGGCACTGGGTTGGTGTGCCCGGTTGTGGGAAAGAGGTCCAGTCCCCTTCTCCATGCCACAGGTCCCCAGGCAGGCCCTGAGGCACTGGTGCAGTGTGCCTGGTTGTGGGAGAGAGGTCCAGTCCCCTTCTCCATACCCTGGGTCCCCGGGTGGTCTCTGAGGTGCTGGCATGTTGTGCCTGGTTGTGGGAGGGAGGTCTGGTCCCCTTCTCTGTGCCCCTGGTCCCTGGGTGGGCGCTGAGGAGCTGGCTCAGTGTGCCTGGTTGTGGGAGGGTGGTCCGGTCCCCTTCTCCATGCCCTGCATCCCTGGGCAGGGCCCAAGGTGCTGGCACATTGTGCCTGGTTGTGGGAGAGAGGTCCAGTCCCCTTCTCAATGCCTTGGGTCTCCGGGCGTGCCCTGAAGCACTGGCCCAGAGTTTCTACACAACCCAGGTGCACCAGATCTCTCGAGAGCCAGAAGTACCTATAAACACAACCATTGAAACCTNGTGCCAACTTTCTACTGATTGGAGTAAAGTGTGGAGAACTTGTCCCCTTTTCTTATAAAATGTCACGAATGTCTCCTCTATGTACATGGACAGTCACATCAGACAACTTTCAAACGCATCCAAAAAACTGGAGGGGAAGAAGAGTTCATCATACCGACTCTTCCTTTCCACCCTGTTCGCCTTCCTTCCCGGTGTCCCAAGCCTCCTGCTCTTGTCACTTCCTCTCCACGTCGTCAGAGCTCCTCCCAGCCCTCCGTTAGGACGGCTCTGCTGGCTGCACGCTGTCCTGGCTTCTCTTCGTCTGGGAGGGCCTTGGACGCCCCGTCAGTCTGGAGGATATTCACGGTTTCACCGAATATCAAATCCTGGATCGACAGTTCTTTTCTCTCAGTGCTTGAAAATGTTTTGTCCTGAGACAGAAGGAATTGACTGGAGAGAGAGCAGTTACTACTGAGTCAGAAAAGAAAGAAAGAAAATTTGTGTCACTTGCATTTGGCCTCTGGTTTCTGCTGAGGAATCTGCTGTCATTGAACTTGCTTTTCGGTGCAGACGTCCTTTCTCTCTGGCTGCTTCCAGGGTTTCTTGCCGTCTGTCTGCAGAAGCTTCGCTGGAACGTGTCCAGGGGTGGATGTTTTCTGACTCTACCTTGTCTGGGGCTTGCTCAGCCCTGGAGTCTGCAGCTTCGTGTCTTCTCTCCAAATGTGAGTAATTTGCAGCCACTACTTCTTCAAATGCATTTTCAGTTCCACGCCCCTTCACCTCTGGGTTCGATGATATGAACGTTAGATCTTTCTTGTGGTCCCACAGGAAATTTCTGTTATTCTTTCTTCAAGGTCACCGATTCTTTCGTCCTCTGCTTCTTTGAGTTGTTCTTTAACATTTTTCAGTTATTGTATTTTTCAGTTCTAAAATCTGCATTTGGTCCTTCTTTCTATCCTCTGTCTCCTCGGAGACCTTCTGTCGCTTTGCTGAGATCGTCTGTGTCTTCGTCTGTGTCAAGGGCACTGGGAGCTCCTCACGGGGCACCTGCGGGCAGCCGAGCCTGCCACCCGCGCCACCTCCCGCTGTAGCTCATCCACGGCATCTTCTCATTGCAGCTGAGATTTTTCTGGTCTGGGCACAACTGGTGACTTTTTACTTGTATCCTGGACATTTTGGGTAAAATGTTCTGAGACTCTGTGTGTTGTTTCAATCTTGTAGCAGCCTCCTCTTTGGATGGTTTCTTTTTGCCTTTTTCTTGGGGTTTCAGAGTTGCCAGTGTTTTCCTAAGAGGCAAAAAACAACCACAAAAACCCACAGTCGCCTCTCCCTAATCTCTGCTCTCACCCAGCCTCGCCCCAGCTCGCCCGAGGTCTCTGCCCGGCGTGGGGACAGCCAGCCTGCTGCAGGGCTCCCTCACCCTGACTCAGTTACACGGAGCATATGCTCCTAAAGGGCAGAGTGCAGACTTTTTACTTCTCAAACTTCTGCACGTTGCACTCGACTGCGTGGACCTGGGACACTTACTGTCACCCTGCTGTAATCTCCTCCCCTGACCTGAAGGCTGGTGTTCTTGCATGAACGGCCCAGGCCTCCCCCTGGAGTCCAGTGTCTCCTTGGACTGAGGAAGTCCTGAAGCCCGCCTGCCAGCCCCAGGGCCTCCTTGTGCCACCCGCTTCTGCTGTTGCAGAGAAAGCAAGGGATGGCTGGTGGCAACGACCACAGAGCAGGAAGCGCTGGCCTTTGTGAGCTCAAAGCAGAAGTTGCCTCATCCTGAGGGACTTCCTCTCTCTGTCCAGGAAAAGGCGGGAGCTCTCCACAGCGAACTGACTCCTGGACTCTCTGAACCTCAGTTTTCTCATCTGCAAAATGGGCAGAGAAGAAGTACTGAGAACCTCTGGCTCATCCTTCCCAGAAATCCAGAGGTAACCACAGTATCTTCTGGGGTTGGGGAGAGAGGTCAAGGAGCCTCTGCCCGCCCACCCCCTGTCGCCCCCACATCTATGTCTTCAGACAGGATGGTTTCCTCTCCTGTCAAAGTCCTGCCCAGCCCTGCTTTCCACGACCAGCCTCCCTAAGGACTTGGTCTCTCTGCCTCTGGAGAGGCCTGACTTTCCAGTTGGCTGCTGTAGACACAGCTTCCTCAAACAACCGGTTTAAGCAGAAAAGAGTTCACAAAAGTGCTTCCAAGCCATTGGCAGACTCGCTGGAGTTCAGGCCTACAGAATCTCAATGAGGACATAGCTCACGGTCACACTGGCAGGCTGGTGTGGGCAGCCTGCCCTGCCCGCCACCCCACCTGTGCACTGGATGCCAATGTGAGGCCTGAGGCCAGGGTAGGCACAGGGCCCAACTCGTCTGGCTTCTCCAGGCACTTCCTTGGTTTTACATTGAAAGACCATCGTCCCAGAAACCCCACTCTTACCTGCAAACCAGGACGGCTGGTACATTTATTTCCTATGGCTGCTGCAACAAAATACCATAAACCGGGTGGCTTAAAACCACAGGAGTCTATCCGCTCATAATTCTGAAGGCTCTAGGGGAGTCTTTGCTGGTCCCCTTTGGCTTTAGTAACCCCAGGCCTTCTTTGGCTTGTGGCCGCATCACTCCCATCTCTGCCTCCACCTTCACGTGGCCTTCTCCCTTCTGTGTGTCTGACCACCCTCCCTCTCACTCTTCTAAGGACACCTGTCACTGGATTTTTGGCTGCCCTAATTCCGAATGATCTCAAGATCCATAATCACAGCAGCAAAGACCCCTTTTCCAAATAAGGTCTCATTCACAGGTCTGGGTATTAGGACATAGACATTGCTTTTGGGAGCCACCATCATCCCATTGCAGTTGGTCACCCAGGGGCAGAACCAAGGCAGATGGCCTCGCTCTGGCCACAGGGCAGCCCGGGAGCTGGTTGCCTAAGCGAGTCTGTCCTGGGGCTGCCTTTCCTGGTCAGCTGGCTGGAGAGAGCAGGCTTTTGCCTGGAGCAGCCAAAGGCCAGCCATGGTGTCCCAGGTCCATCCACAGCCCTGGGGACTCCCCTCCTGCTGGGCGGCTTGTTGAAGCTGCAGCCTCACAACTGCATACACGCCACCCGGTGACTCAGCCTAGGCACCCCGTGACTTCCTGCCAGCCCTGCCCCCAGCTCCTTCATTTCCAATGACGTCTCCTCCCCTGCCGATGTTGACCCTGCCCTTGGCCATCTGTCAGTGGCCCCTGCACTTACCCCTCTCCGGCCCTGTGCTCTGGCTGCATTGGGCTCCAGCCTCCAGCCCCTTCCTCCTGCTCTCCCTCCCTGCTTGGCCCAGAGTTCACTCTCCTGCAGTGTCCTAGGCTCCCCCCACCCATTTGCTTTCCCCCACACGTGTCCAAATCCACCCCTGGGGATCCAAGCCAGAGTCCGCCCTGTGCCTGCCAGGGGCCTGGGCATGGTGGGCAGGTGCTTGGGATAGCCCCGGCTGACTCCAACGGTGCCTAGCTAGCGGTCGTCTTCCCCTGCCCGTCTGTGACACCCTGAAGCCAGTTCCTCAGACCCCCCCACTACTCACTCTTGAGGTGAGGGGTGTATTAGTCAGTATTTTCTGAAGAAACAGACAGAGAGAGAGACTTATTATGAGGAACTGGCTGATGCAGTCATGGGGACCACAAGTCTGAAATCTGCAGGGCAGGCCAGCAGGCTGGGGACCCACGGAAGCGCCAGTGGTGGAGTTCACGGCTGAAGGCCTCTGCCGCAGAACTTCCCTTGCTTGAAGGAGGCCAGTCATCGATCTATTCAGGGCTACAGCTGATTAGACGAGGCCCACCCACATTACGGAGGGCCATCTGCTGTCCTCAAAGTTCACCGACTTAAATGTTAATCTCATCCCAAAAAATAGCTTCACAGAAACATCCAGAATAATGTTTGCTCTGTATCTGGGCACTGTGACCCAGCCAGGCTGACAATGTTGTGTGTGGCCATCATCCACTATCTTTTTTATATAAAGTCCCAAAACATTTTATCACCCCAAAAGAAGCCCCACACCCATGAGACAGTCAGTCCCCACTCCCCCAACCCGGTTCCCCCTGCCCCCTTCACCCCCAAATACTAATTAATCTACTTTGTGTCTGCATGGATTTGCCTATTCTGGACACTTCACATAAATACAATCATGTGACAGGTGGTGTTTTTTGTCTGGCTTCTTTCACTGCATACAAGGTCCTCAGGCTCGTCTGTGCTGTAGCAGGTGTCAGCGCGTCACTCCTCTGTGGCCACGTGGTGTCCGCTGTGTGCGTGCGTATAGCACTCTGTGTCTACCCACTTACCAGGTGATGGACACTGGGTTCTTTCCACTTTTCGACTATTGTGAATAACGATGCTATGAACGTTTGTGTACAGATTTTTGCATGGATGAATGTTTTCATTTTAGATAGTTTTTTTATTGACTTAAATTCTATATATAGGACCTGTTTTTTTTAAATGCCTCTAACCCAATGTACCAACACCCTTCTTTAGACTAAGATTCATTAGAAAATTCAAAATCAGAGAATCCAAGTTCCTCTACTAGATGGTAATAAGGCTGAATTTTAAAGACTTTCTTTTTTTAAGAGTTGAGAACTTTGGGCCGGCCCGGTGGCGCACTGGAGAGTGCGCCGCTTGGGAGCGTGGCGGCGCTCCCGCCGAGGGTTCGGATCCCATGTGGATACCGGTTCCCGCTCATTGGCTGAGCGTGGTGCGGGCGCAACACCAAGGGTTGCGATCCCGTTACCGGTCAGTAAAGGAGACAAAAAGGAAAAAAAAAAAAAGAGTTGAGAACTTCATTTCGTTAAATATTAAAATTCAGTTGGAACCTTAATTTCCCCTGTATTTGTGGTTTTTTGTCTATCTGTTTGTTTTGGTGGCTGACTCGTACAATTTCCCCTGTATTGAAGGAGCTCTAACATTTTTATGCCAAGCCAGGAAATGATGTAAAAGCAGAATTCGTGGCTGTACTGTGGTTGACACATCCCCTGTTGGGTTGCAGCGTTCACGATGTGATTCAAATTGAGAACCATTAGAGTCACTGTTAACAGCTGGCAGACACCGGCCTGGGAGGGTGACGAAGTGAGGCCTTCATTTGCATACTGCTCAGAGAGGATGCATCGAGATTTCATGCCGAGGATTCTCAGCACTGATCATGATATTAACTCTTCACCATTTATTGCTTGCTGTTATGGTGAGACTGTTTTCCTCAAGCTGCCTATTTTCTCTGCACAAAGAATTGTGTTCAGTGGGGCTGCCTGTGTCAGGAGTGGCCCCCATGGCAACGTGCTCAGCACAGGGCAGTGTCCTTTAGCTGCTGTTCCACACGACGCGGTTGGTTCTCTGGAGCCTAGCGTACCCTCGACGTGCATCCCAGATGCCTGAGGGACTTCCACTCCTGAGAGCTGTTTGAGCTTTTTCAATTTTAAACAGCTTTTTTGAGATATAATTGACATACAATAAACTGGATATATTTAAAACATATAGTTTCATAAGGTTTATGGTTTTACTGTCTTAACCATTTTAAGTGCATGGTTCACTGGCATTAAGCACATTCACACTGTTGTGCATCCGTCACCACCATCCATCCCAGAACTTTCTCATCTTCCCAAACTGAAGCTCTGTCCCCATTAAACACTGACTCCCCAGCCCTTCCCCATCCCCCAGTACCCACCTCTCTTCTTCCTGTCTCTGTGAATCTGACTCCTCAAGGGACCTCATATGAGAGGA